CTTCCTTCCTTCCTTCCTTCCTTCCTTCCTTCCTTCCTTCTTTCCTTCCTTTCTTTTTTTGTCATGGGACTTCAACTCAGGGCCTGGGCACTGTCCCTGAGCTCTTTGCTCAAGGCTAGCACTCTACCACTTTGAGCCACAGCACCACTTCTGGTTTCTTGGTGGTGAATTGGAGACAAGAGTCTCATGGACTGTTATGCCTGGACTGGCTCTGAGCCATGATCCTCAGATCTCAGCCTCCTGAGTAGCTAGGATTACAGGCATGAGTCACCAGTGCCCTACTACATTGCCTTTATAATAACAATAAAAAAATTCTTAAAGAAACTCAAGTTTAGCTGGGTGCTGGTAGCTTACATCTGTAATCCTAGCTACTCAGGAGGTTGACATCTGAGGATTGCGGTTCAAAGCCAGCCCAGACAGGAAAGTCCGTGAGACTCTTATCTCTAATAAACCATCAGAAAACCCGAAGTGGTGCTGTGGCCCAAGTGGTAGAGCACTAGCCTTGAGGTCAACTGCTGAGGGACAGTGCCCAGGCCCAGAGTTCAAGCCCCATGACACAAAAAAGGCAATGAATAACTAGTATATGTCTAGAACAAGCAGAAAAGTCAAAAGCTATGTACATATGACCATATAAGATGATGTTAAGTGAAATGAACCCCAAGATAGGGACACAAGTGTTTTTTTTTCTTGCTTGCTACTTTGTTTTTAATGTATTTAAAATGTACTATGTGATTTTTTTGTTTCTCTTGTATGTTTTTCCCCCATAGTATAACCCCTATTTTCACTGTATTTGATGTTGGTGCCCTGCATTTTGTATATACATTTTTCTAATTTGGGGAGGGGAAGGGAAATAACAACATGCTAAAATAAGGATATAGGTTGACCCATTGTAACAATGAGATATACAAGACACCATGTTTAAAATGAACTTTACAACTTTACAATTTGGGGAGGGGGAGGGAGGAGTTGGGAAGGTGGGGAGGGAAAGGATGATAGGGGAAAAACAAAGGAGGAGGTAACAATACTGGATAGGAAATGTACTCATTACCTTACTCATGTAATTGTAATCCCTCTGTACAGTATTTTTACTTTTAAAACATATTTTAAAAAGGCAATGTACAGAGGGGTTATAGTTATATAAATCAAGTAATGAATACATTTCCTTTTAAACAATGTCACCCCTTCCCTTACTCCCAGTTTTTCTCTCCCAGTTTTTCCTTCCTGTTGCCACCTATAAGTTTTATAGTTCATTTTCAACATAGTGTCTAGTGGGTACCACTGCTACAGTTATTCACCCTTTGTTCCTCTATTTCTATTCTCCCCTTACCCTCTCAAAGACATAAACAAACAAGACAAAAGAAATGATAGCAAAAACAACAGAGAAAACCCTCTTGTTTCCATTTCCTGGAGTTCATTTCAATAAATGGCATTGTGCCTTTGTGTTCCTCACCTAAGAATATCCTCCTTTGTATAATTTATCATGTCCTGGTATATTTTAGATCTAGCTTCCACATATGAGAGAAAACATGCACCATTTGTCTCTCTGAACTTGGCTTACTTAACATGCTTTGTTCTAGGTCCATCCATTTCCCTGAAAATGATAGGCTTCAGGCTTTTTTTTTTTTTTTTGGTCAGTCTTGCGGCTTGAACTCTGGGTGAGGGCATTGTCCCTCAGCTCTTCAGCGCTCTACCACTTGAGCCACAGTGCCACTTCCTTCCTGTAAATGACATATCATTTTTTTCTAATGATTGTGTAAAATTCCATTGTGTATAGGTACCACATTTGAGTTTCTTTATCTAGGTAAAAAAAAATGGATAGGCCTAGAAAGTCCCCAAAGAAGAAGAAGGTAAAGATAAAGGACAATGGCTTTAAAACCAGTAGTAAAACAAAGATGGCTACAAAGGACAGAGGGACTTCAATGGATACAGTAGACAAGAATGTGATAAAGCAACAAGACCAGAGGAGTGTGACTGAAATAGCTCTGGCTTTAGTCGAGGAAGTCATTGCTGCTGCTGTTGAGTTTATCCAAGGTAGGAATCCTATGTGGTAGTGTAAAGATTTGTCCCATTATGTAATCACAGCCTTTTGAGCCAACTCACTAATTTATCCTTTGTTTTCAGATTCTCAAAGTCCCATAAAAAAAGTCAAGTGGCTCACTCATGGTGAATTCACAGCAGAAAGATGCCGGAGACAAATTCATAAATATGTCTCAGTAAGTTTGCTACTCCACTTTGTCATACTGAGAGCCAGGAACAATAAAAAGGCTCTTGCTTGATCAAAAGTTTAAGATCCAAGCCATAGCTCATTCCTGTAATCTTAGCTGCTTAGGAGGTTGAGATCTGAGGATCACAGTTCGAAGCCAGCCCAGGCAGAAAAGTCCATGAGATTCTTATCTCCAATTAACCATTAACCAGACAATGGCCAGAAGTAGAGGTATGGCTCAAGTGGTAGAGTGCCAGCCTTGAGTGAAAAAGCTAAGCAAGAGCATGAGGACCTGTGTTCAAGCTCCAATGCATGTATAAAAAGAAGAAAACAAAAAGCTAAAAGCTATGTACAAATCATGACATAAGATCGCCCTGTGCCCAGTTCTACACATGCCATCACTCTAGAAGTGGGGTCTGCTGAGTAGGTACCTGGCATTTCTAATGGGGGTTTTTCCCAAGCTTATCGCCCAGGATCTACCACATATCAGGAAGTGTGTGCTGTGTGCAAGCGCTGGTAAGGACTTCATTATATATTATCTCATTTAATCCTCACAACAATCTGAGTAGGGGGGGGCTCAGAATGTGGCTTAGTGGTAGAGTGCTTGCCTAGCATGCTTGAAGCCCTGGGTTCAATTCCTCAGTACTGCATAAACAGAAATAGCCAGAAGTGGCACTGTGGCTCAAGTGGTAGGTGCTTTCATAGCATGCTTGAAGCCCTGGGTTCAATTCCTCAGTACTACATAAACAGGAAAAGCCAGAAGTGGCACTGTGACTCAAGGGGTAGAGTGCTAGCCTTGAGCAAAAAGAAGCTCAGGGACAGTACTCAGGCCCTGAGTCCAAGCCCCAGGACTGAGTAGGCATATCTGTGTACCCATTTTACAGATGAGGCTGCTCAAAGCTCACAATAATTGAGCCATTTGTCCAAAGCCTTTCTGATTAAACAGCAAATTAAAGTTACCTTTTTAAAAAATTGTGTGTGTGTGTGTGTGTGTGTTTGTGTGTGTGTGTACATGCTAATATTAGGGCTTGAACTCAGGGCCTGGATGCTATTGAGCCACAGCTCTACTTCAGGCTTTTGATGGTTATTTTGGTGGAAAGTCTTATAGGCTTTCCTGCCCAAGCTGGCTTTGAACTACAATCCTCAGATCTCAGCCTCCTGAATAGCTAAGGTTACAGGCATGAGCCACTGGAACCTGGCTAAGCATTAAGGGACATGGAACTTCCTATTGCCTGACTCCTTTCTGATCTGATCTTGATTGCTTTGTTTGTGCCAGTCCTGGGAGTAGCACTGTCCGTGATCTTTTGTGCTAAAGGCAGTGCTGTACCACTTGAGCCACAACTCTCCTTCCAGCTTTATGGTAATGAGTTGGAGAAAAGAGTCTCACAGACTTTCCTTCTCTGGTTGGCTTCAGACCTCATTCCTAACATCTCAGCCTTCTGAGTAGCTAGAATTACAGGCATGAGCCACTGGTGTTTGGCTCTGATTTTGTTTTCTGAACTACCCCTTGTTGCAATCAAGTGAAACCAATTTTCACAAATGCTTGAAACCAGCTGCACTGCTTTCTAGTCAGACCTATAGGTCTATATTAATTATTTCTCCTTTAGCTATTCTCACCTCGCAAGATAGTGAGTAGTGTGTAGTGTGTGGCTGGTACCTATTTGCACAAACACATGAGGTGTCTGTGCAGCCCCCAAACCACATCTCAAATGATGTTTGCCTAATTGCCTTGTTTTACTTCAGCCCCACCTTTCTTTGCTCCACTCTGCAGATAATTAGGAATTGATTCTAGCTTGAATCACAATAAGAAAAAATTGTCAGGAGCCAGGTGGTGAGGGCTGACACCTGTAATCCTAGCTCCTCAGGAGGTTGGGGAGAATGAGATCTGAAGATCATGGTTCAAAGCCAACCCAGGAAAGAAAATCTGTAAGACTATCTCCAATTAACTACCCCCACCCCCCAAAAAAATCTGGAAGTGGAGCTGTGGCTCAAGTGATAGACTGCTAGCCTTGAGCAAAAAGCTGAGAGACAACTGCCCAGGCTCTGAGTTCAAGCCCCAGGATTGGCAGAAAAAAAAATGTCAGGACTGGGCTGGAATGTGGCTCAAGTGATAAAGTGCTTACCTAGCTCACTTGAGTCCCTGGGTTCAATCCCCAGTAGTGGAAAAAAAGGTCAGTACTTCAAAACACTAACCCTGACAGATACACACTGCCTTTATTGATACCACTAGAGCAGCAGAAGTGTGCTTTTCTTTCTCTGACAGCTTCTGTCTGTCTGTCTGTCTGTCTATGTCTGTCTCTGTCTCCTTTTTTTCCTATGAGACAGAGTTGGGAGAGTGAAGACCGCTGGGTATGCTGCACAACTCTTGTTAGGAGGGACGACATAGTTCACAGCTTCCGCTATATCTACTGTGTGCGCTGGAGCGTCCCTACTGCTCTGAAGCCCATGCCACGGGTCAGTGCCGCGGCCTTCTTCATTGTCAAGGTGAACAAGAGAAAACCTCCGGTAAGCTCTGCTTCTCCTACCTACCCCATGTCCTGCAGCGAGGCTGCAGTCACTGGCTGACCTCTCCAGTCCAGGTCATCCAGTCCAGGGACCTCATACTGATTCCCTCATCTTGCATGGTCTATCTCAGCTGATTACTCTCTCCTCTATGACATTGTCCTCTGTGTGTGTGGTGTGGGGGAGGGGTGTGCGCACACTAGGGCCTGAGAGCCATCCCTTAGCTTTTTGTTTGTTTTGTCCATTATGGGGCTTGAACTCAGGGCCTGGGTGATGTCCCTGAGCCTCTTTGTGCTCAAGGCTAGCACTCTACCATTGAGCCACAGCGCCACTTCTGGTTTTTTTTTTGAGTGATTAATTGGAGGTAGTAGTCTCATAGGGACTTTCTGCCTGGGATGGCTTTAAACCACGATCCTCAGATCTCAGCCTCCGGAGTAGCTAGGATTACAGACATGAGCTACCAGCACCTGGGTCCTTTAGCTTTTTTAGGCAAGGCTGGCACTGCTCTACTCCCAGCTTTGAACTGCTTAATTGGAGATAAGTCTCAGGTATTTCTTTTTTTATTGTTGTTCTAAAGTGATTACAGAGGGATTACAGTTATATAAATCAGGTAAAGAACATATTTCTTTTGGGACTTTATCACCCCTTCCCTTGCTCTCTCCCAGTTTTCCCCTCCTGTCTCCACCCACAAGTTGTATTGTAGTTTCTTTTCAACATAGTGTCTAATGAGTGTCACTGCTGCCTTTGTTCACCCTTTGTCCCTCCATTTCTGTACACCTCTTACCCTCCCAAAGACAAATAAACAAACAAGACAAAAAAGGAAAAGACCTTGTTGTTTCCCTTTCCTAGAGTTCATTTTATTGCAAAGGTGATGTACAGAGGAGTTACAGTTACATAAATTAGCTAGTGAGTACATTTCTTTTTTTTTTTTATCTTTAAGTAGTTGTACAAAGAAGTTCCCATCCTATGGAAAGACTTGGAAAAACTTATATTAAGTAAGCCAGGCCCAAAGAAACATAGGTCCCATGGTTTCCCTTATTTGCAATAACTAGTATATGCGTAGGACAAGCAGAAAAGTTCAAAAGCTATGTACATATGACCAGATAAGATGATGTTAAGCAAAATGAACCCCAAGATAGGGATACAAGTGGTTTTTTTCTTGCTTGCTATTGTTTCTAACGTATTTATAATGTACCATGTGATTTTTTTTGTTTCTTTGTATGTTCCTCCCCCACCGTATAACCCGTTTTCACTGTATTTGATGTTGGTGCCCTGCACTTTGTATATACACTTCTCTAATTTGGGGAGGGGAAGAGAAAAAACAAAATGCTTAAACAGGGATACAGGTTGACCCATTGTAACAATGAGATGTACAAGACACTAGGTTGAAAATGAACTTTACAATTTAGGCAAGGTAGGAGGATGTAGTTGTGGAGGTGGGGAGGGAAGGGATGATAGAGGAAAAACAAAGGAGGAGGCAACAATGTTTGATAGGAAATGTACTCATTACCTTGCTCATGTAACTGTGACCTCTCTGTACAGTACTTTTACAATAAAAAAGTATTAAATAAAAAAGGAGTTCCCATTTTACAATACAGTATATGAATACAAGGTGTCTAACAAAATTGTCACCCATTGCTCCTAACCCATCCCTTCTCTCACTTGTTTTTTTAATTGAGATTAGGTGAGTACATAAATGTCACATATTTCACAGTATTGTGGAATCATGATACTTAAAGTCACAAACACATTTTAACCTTCACAAGGCAAATTGTCATTATCATGGTCTATAAAGTTTGTGAATTGTGGGGGCTGGGAAGGTGGCTCAGTGGTAGAGCACTCACCTTGTATGCCTGAGGCCCTGGGTTCCATTCCTCAGCACCTCATAAACAAAAAGAAAAAAGCTCGCTGTGGCTCAAGTGGTAGAGCGCTAGCCTTGAGCTGAAGAGCTGAGGGACAGTGCCCAGGCCCAGAGCTCAGGCCCCCACGACCGGAACCCCCCAAAAAAAAGTTTGTGAATTTTATGAGCTTTGACAATACAGATTATTTCTTCCACATCAGGTGATTAAGATTACATTTCTTTCCTTTTGCTTAGTGTAGGCTGTTCCTTCTTTCCCTCTCATTCCTCCCTTCCCATCACTGTCTTTGGGTTGCTTAGCTCATTTTCATCTATGTCCAGTGCAGCTGATGGGCCCCTTTGTTGTTTGTTTTTCTGTTTCCCACTTATTTTGCATCCTCCTAGCTTCCCTCTGTTATGCGCATATATATACCATATATATGGTCAAGATCATGGAGTCATTTAGCAATGATACAACACAATGAGTGAAGTCCTTTGTTTCTCGAGTCCTCTTTACTTTCTCATATCCCCTTGCATTTTGGCTTTAGCATTCACATATCAGGGAGACCATGTGCCGTTTGCCTCTTTGCTCTTGGCTACTTGAGCGGACACAGATGGGAGGATTGAGGTCTGATGCTGAGGAAAAAACCCATCAGCCACTACCTGACAAAAATGTAAAGCACAAAGACTAGAGATATGGATCAAGTTGTGGAGCACCTATCTAGCAAACACAGGGGCTTGAGTTTAAACCTCATTACTAAGACAAAATCTTCAAACCTTGTTCATCTGTACAATTCCCTTCTGATGCCACTCCTAAGAGGTAGCTTGACAGCTGAAGAATCTGGAACATGTAAAGAAGCCACATGAGGGTTTGGAGGCATGGCTCAGTTGGTAGAGTGCTAGGCAATGAGCCAAAAAGCAGCTATAGGTACAGAGTTTGAGCCCTGGGCTTGGACCAAGAAATAAAAGCCAAATGACTCAGTATTGCTTCTATTTATGAGAAGCACAGCCTTGGCCAACTTGTCTCCCATTTAGGGGAGTGGATTAAGGTATTTAATCTTTTGCAGAATACATTTTCAGCGACAAAGAACTACCACGTATAGACTCTCAGGTTTATAATTGTGATCAATTGTGGAAAATCAAGAGTATACATATGTACATAAGGAGCAAAGATATTAAGAGTTGGTCTAATTGTTCTAGACTGACAGTTCTCCCTCTCTTTTGTAGGAAATGCCTATTGATGTCAAATATTTCCTTGAGGGCCAAGCATTAATTCAAAGGTAACAAACTACTTGGGGATTTATTTTATTTTATTTTTTTTATTTTTTATTTTTTTATTTTTTTGGGTCCGGTCGTGGGGCCTGAACTCTGGGCCTGGGCGCTGTCCCTCAGCTCTTCAGCTCAAGGCTAGCACTCTACCACTTGAGCCACAGAGCCACTTCCGGCTTTTTTTCTATTTGCTTATGTGGTGCTGAGGAATCGAACCCAGGGTCTTGAGCATGCAAGGCAAGCGCTCTACCACTGAGCCACCTTCCCAGCCCCTTGGGGATTTATTTTAAAGGCACAAGGGAAGGTCATCATATTCCAGGAATCCAGCAGGATTAACCCATTATAATAGACTTAAAATATGATTCTGCCATTGTAAAAAGTTGTTTTCCTTAGCGCTTGGTTTTTCAGGAATGAGCTTGAGGAAAATTGCTAGAGATGGGTGGGGCAAAGAGGGTCATGTCTTGTTTCTATAGGAGACTTGAAAATCCTATGGAATTAACTTTTTTATTCCTATGGAATAAAACTCTTTATTAAGCTTGTTAAAACTCTCATTGACTGGGCTTAAGGAACAGTAAAGAATATACACAGAGCTAAGGGTTGGTGGCTCATGCCTGTAATCCTGGCTATTCAAAAGGTTGAAATCTGAGGAGCATGGTTCAAAGCCAGCCCAGACAGGAAAGTCTGTGAGACTCTTATCTCCAATTAACCACCAAAATGATAGAAGCGAAGCTGTGGATCAAGTGGTAGAGCACTAGCCTTGAGCACAAAAGTCCAGGGACAGTGCCCAGGCCCTGAGTTCCAGGAATAGCCCCCCCCCCCAAGAAAAAGAAAAGCTTCTTATTTACTAGGAATGTAACAAAAAAGGAATCCCTGACCCAATATTTTGTTTGATTTAAAAAGTTTTTGGTGTGTTTTTCTTCCTCTATAGACCCGGAACAATTCGCTTCCGAGAACACTGGCTGAGAGAAATTATTGAGACCAAGCATCAGTTAATGGAATCATTTCCCATCTAATTCAACATGTTTAAGGATTGTGCCTGTAATCCAAATACATTAAAAAAATACAACACACATTAGTCCACAGAGTATTTATTGAATCATAAACTTGTGGCATACCACTCAGCTGGATTTATTTTAAAATTATTTAGTTGTACAAAGAGGTTACAGTTCTCCAAGTCAGGTTAAGTACAACACCTTGATCAATGTTACCTTTTTCATTTTTCTCTATCCTACCCCTCAGCTGTATTTTTTAGTTTTATTTGCCACTGTGTGACTTTTATGACATGAATTGAAGAACCAGTAAGTTGTTTTCTACTTCTTAAAAGTCTTATCACTTTGCCATCTCTTTAGGGTCTTGCAAGTACAGAGCTTAGAGTCGCTGAACTGCCAGACCAAAAAACTGCTCCCTACCCACCTCCACCTCCCCGTCTGCCAGTCCCACCCCCCCCCCGTCCCGCCCCCCACACTGAGGAGTAACAAAATGGCAAAAGTTCTGTAGCTCAGAATATAACTAGTCTGAAGGGTTCCCCTACTCACAGACTGCTTCATTTATGGTCAATGAAGCCTCAGTGCTAAATAATACACTGAAATCCTTTCAGACGACAAGATACTCATGATCCCATGCACGTGATACATACCATGGTATCCATGATGACAGCAAGATGTCTTGAGGACAGGGAAACAGTGAAATAAGGATGGTTTAATCACCACCCTTATATACTTCTGGTCATGTTCCTACCCTGACAGATCAGCACTGTTAGTACCTTCCTTGCTAAGTTCCCTTGCCCAGCTGCAAAGTTTTAATATACCAAGACAAAATTACATTATACACATTGATTACTCTCAAGGACATCAGAATGTGTATTTACATAGAGAAGCACTGGGAAGGAACACAGAATACTAAAGACAATTGACATGGCAGGACTGCAATTTTTATTTGTGCAATAAATGAGGGAAAAAAATCCTATCAGAGCAACAGGTGAGGAGGTAAGAAACTAGGTAAGTCTCCATTTTCTTTGTTGTTGTTGTTGGTTATGGGGTTTGTATTCTGGGTTTGGGTGCTGTCCCTGAGATTTTTTGCTCAAGGCATTTTACCACAGCACCACTTCTGGTTTTCTGGTGGTTAACTGGAGATAAGAATCTCATAAGACTTTCCTGCCTGGGCTGGCTTTGAATCATGATCCTCAAATCTTATCCTTCTAAATTGCTAGGATTATAGGTATGAGCCACTGGTGCCAGGCCAATTTGTTTTTGTTTTTGCTTTTTTTTAAAGTACAGTAACCTTGGGTTATGAGTCAGGTGACACAGTTTGAGACAGAAACACTTGTAAGCTGAAAATAAAATACATTAGCCCTTTTAGTCTTTCCTTCTCTTTCACAAATATGCTACTGAAGCTTTATGTGTGGGTGCGCTGGTCCTGGGACCGGGGCACTGTCTCTGACTTTCTTTTGCTCAAAGCTAGCCCTCTACCACTTGAGCCACAACTCTAAGCTTTTTGGTGGTTAATTGGAGATAAGAGTCTAAGGGACTTTCCTGCCCACGCTGGCTTCAAACTGTGATCCTCAGATCTCAGACTCCTGAGTAGCCAGGAATACAGGTGTGAGGCACCATCACCAGGCTTGAAACTATTCTTTATAGATCATCCCCAAATACACTTCCATGAAGGAAATGTCAAGGTTCTGAAATAAACTGTTATCTTTTCTTTCATTTAGTCACAAACATTTGTTGACTGCTCTGTGCAAGAGATCAGAGAATCAAATAAACTCACCTGAACTACTTTGCCAATGAAAAATTAAAAAAAAAATTAGTCTCTAGGAACCAGTAACAAAGAAAATGTCCTAGAGAATAAAAAATTTTAAATGGGAACTATAAACTTTAGGTTTTATTATATAAGGAAATACATAGACTAAGACAAGTTTCAGATCTAGTTCCTTTTAACTTTTGGAGAATATAAACTTATTAGGCTACCAGTATATAGAAAATGAAATCATTTCCAGTTCTGGGTTATAAATGTTACAACATGCCTACTGTTCAGTACCTGTGGATTAAACCAATATTTTCTTACAAAGGTTAAATAGAAAAAAAAAATGTTCCATGCTTTGTAACATGGCTGTCTTATTAAAAAAAAATCCACTGATGAAAAATAATGTTATTGACTGGTATTGGTGATTAAAGCCAGGGCCTTGCCCATACCATGCAAATACTCTAGCACTTAAGCCAAGCCCACACAGCTGGAAAAATGAAATTATTACAAATAGAGAGGTCATTTTATAGAAGCACCCATTAATCTAAATTTACCCAGTGCACAGTGATGGATATCCAAACAACCTGCCAACCTTGCCACGTGTGAGTGGCTTATGCCTTTAATTAATCCCAGCACTCAGCAGGCTGACAGAGGATTGTGAGCTTGAGGCTAGTTTGGGTTACAAAATAAGTTTGAGGTCAGATTGGTGTATGTAGTGAGATTTCTTTTTTTTTTTTCTGTAGTGAGATTCCTTTAAGTTAAAGCCAAAGAACAATCCTGAACAAAAGCAGCCAAAACATCCACTTCCTCCCCTTCATTCTTTTGAACTAACTGTAACTGAACCAAATAGGAGAAAGAAATACAGGACCTCACACTCCCACGATGTGCACTTGTCATAAAAGTGATGAGGTAGGGAACAGATGACACATGTGAAGGGAAATGTACTTATTACCTGATGTATGTAAAGATAACCCCTCGGGGCTGGGAAGGTGGCTCAGTGGCAGAATGCTTGCCTTGCATACATGAGGCCCTGGGTTCAATTCCTCAGCACCACATAAGCAAAAAGAAAAAAAAGCCAGAAGTGGCGCTGTGGCTCAAGTGGTAGAGCACTAGCTGAAGAGCTGAGGGACAGCGCCCAGGCCCAGAGTTCAGGTCCCACGACCGGTCCCCCAAAAATAAAATAAAGGTAACCCCCCCGTATATCACCTCTAAAGCAACAACAATAAATTAGAAAAAAAAGTGACAAAGTAAGGGGGTTTTACACAAACTTAAGTATTAAGCTGAATGATAGATATTAAAAGAAAAAAATCAAAAAAAAAAAAGAAAAAAAAATCCTTGAAACAGGGGCTGGGAATGTGGCCTAGTGGCAGAGTGCTTGCCTAGCATGCATGAAGCCTAAGTTCATTTCCTCAGCACCACATAAATAGAAAAAGCCAGAAGTGGCATTGTGGCTCAAGTGGTAGAGCACTAGCTGAGAGCAAAAGAAGCTCAAGGATAGTGCCCAGGCCCTGAGTTCAAGCCCTAGGACTGGCAAAAACAAAACACAAAAAACAACCAAAAAACCTCCGCAAAAAAACCATGAAAGGTTTAAAATCTCATCACTTAAAAGAACAATGTTAAAAACTTTTAATATTTGTTTCATCCTTATGAAAAAAACGTTAAAAAATATGGATTCACTATTTTGCATATATCAGCACGCTGGAGCACAGTTGGTTCTCATTTGTTTTACACAATATCTTAGAAATAATGTGCTTACATTGGCACAGCAATAGACTTCTGAAGAATTTATACTTGAATAATTTTTTTGGGGGTATTGGTCCTGGGGCTTGAACTTAGGGCATAGCACTGTTCCTGAACTAGTGATCTACCACTTGAGCCACAGCTCCACTTCTGGGTTGTGGGTGGCTACTTGGAGATGAATCTCATGGACTTTCCTGTCTGGGCTGGCTTTCAACCATGATCCAGAACTTTGCCTCCTGAGTAGCTAGGCAGAGCATTGGCACCTAAAAGTAAGTTTGTTTGTGATGCGGGGGAGTAAACTCAAACATCTCTAAGCTATACTTTCAGCTCGAGAAAATGAGTAACTTACTAAGAATTTTGCTTTTTGGTTTGTTGGTTTTAGAGACAGGGACTTTAATAACATCACTTCTAGAACAGACTGTATTATAGAATCATTTTTTAAATTCTAGATTTCCTTTTTATAGCAAAATCTTCACATCAAGAAAAATAGCCTCCTATATAATTTCTACCCAGTCAGTTTTTTTTTAATTTAATTTTATTGTCAAAGTGATGTACAGAGTGGTTACAGTTACATATGTAAGGTCGTTGAGTACATTTTTTTTTTGGTCCAGTCGTGGGGCCTGAACTCTGGGCCTGGGCGCTGTCCCTCACCTCTTCAGCTCAAGGCTAGCACTCTACCACTTGAGCCACAGCGCCACTTCCGGCTTTTTTCTTTTTTCTTATGTGGTGCTGAGGAATCGAACTCAGGGCCTCAGGCATGCAAGGCAAGCGCTCTACCACTGAGCCACCTTCCCAGCCCCTCTACCAAGTCAGTTTTTTTTTGTTGTTGTTGGTCGTGGGACTTGAACTCTGGGCCTGGGCGCTGTCCCTCAGCTCTTCAGCTCAAGGCAAGCGCTCTACCACTTGAGCTATAGCGCCACTTCCGGTTTTCTGGTAGTTTATTGGAGATAGGAGTCTCATGGTCTCTCCTGCCCGGGCTGGCTTTGAACTGCGATCCTCAGATCTCAGCCTCCTGAGTAGCTAGGATTACAGGCGTGAGCCACCAGCGCCCGGCACCAAGTCAGTTTCTAACATATTCAATATAGAATGATAACTCCCTACGAGTTTGTGATTGGGGTGGGAGTGATCATGAAGTAGCGCCAATAATATCATTAAACCATTGTGTGTCACTGAAGTTTCTCATATGGCACCTTGTTTCTCTATGTCACCTCTCTTAAAACAATGGAATTTTACTTGTTTTTTTTTTTTTTTTGGTGCTGGTCTGTGGCTTGAACTCAGGACTGGGGCACTGTCCCTGAGCTGCTTTTGCTCAAGGCTAGCACTCTACCACTTGAACCATAGCTCCACTTAGAGCTTTTTTGGTAGTTTGTTAGACATAACAGTGACAAATTTTCCTGGCTGGGTTGGCTTTGTACTCTGGTCCACAGCAAGCATAAACCACCAGCACCAGGCTAGAATTTTACTCTTAATTTGGATTTTCAACCAGAAATTCATGGCAATCCAAAAAAACCCCAGTGAAATGACCAAAGATGTGAATAAGAAACATTCTTTTTTGTGCCAGTCCTGGTGCTTTAACTTGGGGCCTGGGTGCTTGGTTCAAGACTAGCACTCTACCACCTAAGACAGAGCTCCACTTCCAGCTTTTTGATGGTTAACTGGACATTAGTCTCACAGACTTTCCTGTTCAGGATGGCTTCGAATTGAGATCCTCAGATTTCAGCCTCCTGAGTAATTAAGATTACAAACGTGGGTCACTGGCGCCGGGCTAAGAAGCCATTTTTAATGGAAGGACTGAAAAGAATTAAATAGAAGGCATGGTAGCACTGTAAAGCTTGCTCAGGGAATACTGTGGAACCCATGAATTTTGTTGTTGTTAAAAAGTCTGCTGAAAAGTCAGAAAAAATCTTTTATTTGTCATCCTTCCCTTTAGTTTTTCGGTATACCATTTCTCGAAAACTGGCCAGGATCTTGTTCTCTCTCTTCCGTCTCTCTTCTTGGTTGAAAGACGCAAGTGCTCTCTTCTCATCAGCACTATAGATCTGGTTTTCTTTCCTCAATCGCACGGCCTCCATTCGGCGATGCCTAGAAATAATTTTATATTTGGCTTAATTTCTCAATATTTTCATAGTATATCGTCATTCATTTAAAAAATACAGAATGTGTATTTAAGAACTGATAAAAATTGAATAGTTATTAGATGATCATTGGTAATCTTTTTTTTGGCAGTCATGGGGCTTGAACTATGGGCCTGGGTGCTGTCCCTGAGCTCTTCAGCTCAAAGTGAGCACTCTACCACTATGAGCCACAGTGCCACTTCTGGTTTTCTGATGGTTAATTGTAGATAAGAGTCTCATGGACTTTCCTGACCAGGCTGGCTTTGAATTGTGATCCTCAGATTTCAGCCTCCTGAGCAGCCAGGATTACAGGCATGAGCCACTGGCACCCGGCGATATTAATCTGTTGATGTGTTCTTTGATTCTAGTATTCAAATAATGATCTTGATCTTCTGTCAACAAGGAATTCATCTCAAGACAGATCAGTAATATTAGAGGTAAAGGCAGAAGGAAACTATGCCAGGAAAGCTACAGGTCTGTTTTATGTAGAGGGAAATATTTCATGAAAAGCTGCCTTTTTTGTATATGTACTCAATCTTACACAATCAGTTTAGAAGTTTGGCCCTCTACAAAAAGTATTAAGGACAAGACAGGAGGGCAGAGGAGTAGCTGTATGGGAGAATCATAGAAATAACAATATAGTTTGCTCAGGATACAATGAGCACTCGATACATTTTATCTGGAATAGAAAGTAAAAGATACCGCTGGGTGCCAGTGGCTCATTCTTGTAATCCTAACTACTCAGGAGGCTGAGGTTGGCAGGACAAAAATTCCAAGCCAGGCAGGGCAGAAAATTCCCTGAGACTCCAGAAGAACCAGCTAAAAAGCCAGACTGGAGGTTTAATTCAAGTGACAGAAGCCTAGCAAGCATGAGGCCCTGAGTTCAAACCTTAGTACTGGCAAAAAAAAAAAAAAAAAGTATATAAATTACGCTATGATGAACACCCATTATCCATGTAGGTGTTTCCTGGTACATGCAAAGATTCTTCTCCTGAGTTGCCTGGAATGGAATTTCTGAGTCATAGAACATATGAATGTTCAGCTTTCCAAGATAATGCTGGTTAGAGGCTGGGAAGGTAGCTCAGTGGTAGAGCGCTTGCCTTGCATGCATGAGGCCCTGGGTTCAATTCCTCAGCACCACATAAGCAAAAAGAAAAAGCCGAAGTGGCGCTGTGGCTCAAGTGGTAGAGTGCTTGTCTAGAGCAAAAGAAGCTCAGAGACAATGCTCAGTTCAATCCCCAAGACTGGCAGAAAAAAAAAAAAGATGCCGGTTGGGGCTGGGAAGGTGGCTCAGTGGTAGAGCACTTGCTTGCCTTGCATGCATGAGGCTCTGGGTTAGATTCCTCAGCACCACATAAGCAAAAAGAAAAAAGACAGAAGTGGCGCTGTGGCTCAAGTGGTAGAGTGCTAGCCTTAAGCTGAAGAGCTGAGGGACAGCGCCCAGGCCTAGAGAGTTCAGGCCCCACGACCGGACCAAAAAAAAAAAAGATAATGCCAGTTGTTCACCAAAGTGTACTAATAGATACAGCCACTGGTAGGATTTAAGAGATTCTGATAAGACACATCATTTCAAATGCTTGAAATGCTTGTTTTATTTTTCCATTTCCTTTTCGGTTGTTTATATGTATTCTTTACATATTATCATTATAGGCGTGACCCACAAGCACTGGGAAAAATAAAATTTCTTTTGTTGGTTATAGGGCTTGAACTCAGGGCCTGGATACTATCTGGGCTTCTTTGTGTTCAAGGCTAGTGCTCTACCACTTGAGCCACAGCACCACTTCCCCCTGAGCTTTTTTGCTCAAGGCTAGTGCTCTACTAAGTTGAACCACAGTGCCACTTCTGACCCTGACATTTTTTTTTCTTTTTTCTTTTTAATTTAATTTGTGAACATACTGTACAGAGGAGTTACAATTACATGGGCAGGATAATGCGTACATTTCTTACCAAGCATTGCAGCCTCCTCCTTTGTTTACCCTTCACATCCCTTCCCAGCCTCCCCCCCTGACATTTTTTTTTAAGTTCTTTTCTCCCTTTCTTTCTTTTGCCAGTCCTGGGGCTTGAACTCAGGCACTGGGCACTGTCCTGAGCTTCTTTTGCTCAAGGCTACTCCCATTTGAGCCACAGCGTTATTTCCAGCTTTTTTTGTTTATGTGGTACTGAGGAATCAACTCAGGGCTTCATGCATGTTAGGCAAGCACTCTACCACTACGTTACATTCCTAACCCGACACTGAAATTTTCTATGCAAACAATCATATCAATTACAAAAATATGCGATATATCCATTCTGAACTTTGTACCTTTAGTTCACTTTCCTTGTCTTACTATACTAATCCCCTGAACTGTTGTTTTAAAGCTGGTCCTCAGAATTTCAAGATTCTCAATGTGCTTTAGGGGTTCTTCAAATACGTGCCTCCAATGCCATTTCAAAATAGTTATCTAGGGTAGGGTGGCTCATGCCTGTAATCCTAACTATTCAGGAGGCTGAGATCTGAGGATTGAGGTTCAAAGCCAGCCCACGCAGGAAAGTCCATGAGATGCTTATCTCCAATAAAGCACCAGAATACCAGAAGTGGTGCTGTGGCTCAAGTGGTAGAGCACTAGCCTTAAGCTGAAGAGATGAGGGACAGTGCCCAGGCCCAGAGTTCAAGCCCCATACTGACAAAAAAAATTAGTTATCTAGTTGGGCTCTGGTGGTTCATGCCTGTAATCCTTCTTTTGGGCTCTAAAATTTAATATTTTTTTTGCCGGTTGTGGGGCTTGAACTCTGGGCCTGGGCACTGTCCCTCAGCTCTTCAGCTCAAGACTAGCACTCTACCACTTGAGCCACAGCGCCACTTCCGGCTTTTTTTTCCTGCTTATGTGGTGCTGAGGAATTGAACCCAGGGCCTCATGTATGCAAGGCAAGCACTCTACCACTGAGCCACATTCCCAGCCCCTTAAATAATTTTTTATGTATAAAATGTCTCTGGATCCTAGCTACTCAGGAGGCTGAGATCTGAGGATCACAGTTCAAAGCATCTCAGGTAGGAAAAGTCTATGAGACTCTTATCTCCAATTAACCACTTGAAAACCAGAAATGGAGCTGTGGCTCAAAGTGGTAGAGCACTAGCCTTGAGTGAAAGACTTCAGGGATAGTGCCCAGGTACCTGAGTTCAAGGCCCCCAACTGACAAAAAAAAAGTTATCTAAAAAACCTCAAATTTGTCAGGCTCTTGTGGATCACATCTGTAATCCTAGTAACTCAGGAGGCTGAGCTCTGAGGACTGCAGTTCAAAGCCAGCCCAGGCAAGATAGTTTGTGAGGCTCTTTATCTCCAATTAACCACCAAAAAGCCAGAAGTGGAGCTGTGGCTCAAGTGGTAGAAGGTTAGCCTTCAGCAAAATAGTTCAGGGAGAGTGCCTAGACAAGCCCTAGGACTGGCGGGGGAGGGGAGGGAGAATCCCAAATTTAACTTAGTCTTAATACTGCTGCCTGTATTCCTCCTTCCTTCTTCCTTCGCTATCTCTTCTTGGAGGACAGTGCTTTATGAAATTGCTAACTGCCAAAATGTCACATTCTCACTGGCACTACTACGCATAATTGATCTTAATTATATATCTGCAGTGGATAAAATATCTATACCAAATATGAGCTAGGAAAGTACAAGGTAAATACCACTTCTTTGAAGTTGGAGATACAGTTCAGTTCCATACATACCTGGAAGCGTAGCTAAATGCGTTTATATCAATAGAGCCATCATCAAACATGTATTTATGCTAGATTTTCCATTAGGAAGTAGTCACTTAAAGAAAATCAATCAATAATATATAATTCCGGTAGAAATGAAGGAGGATAAAGGGCTAATCATAGAAACTAAACTCAGGTCTAAACACATACCTGCTACCACTCATTACGTAACCGGAACATTCAAATGATGCAATTTCTTCACTGGTCAAGCCAATTTCACCTCTTCGTGGAATACGTTTTCCAGCTTTTACATATTCAGCCATTGCTGCACCTTCACCAGGTAACAGAGCATGGCCATAGCTACAAAGTAGACGTTAGAAAAGATCTATTAGCATTAGCATGTCATATAAAGCTCATCATTCTAGAGAGAACACAGAACATTTTCTCTTGAACAGCAGTAGGAATAATAGTACTGAGGACTGCTAAAAAAACCCCAATAGAAATTGCCTTATTTTTATTGTAAAACCTGTTTAGTAACCCAGAAATATACACATAATTTGGAGGAACTACACAATTGTAATTTATGATGTATAGTTGTTGGTTAATTTATCCTATAGATGCTGCTATCATTGCCTCTGCCTCCATTTCGTTCCCTTTCTCCCTCTTACCTTTTTTTGTTGTTGTTTTGCTTGTCATGGGGCTTCTCAAGGCCTGGGCACTGTCTCTGACCTTCTTTTCCTCAAGGCTAGTGCTCTACCACTTGAGCCACAGCACCACTTTAGGCTTTTGCCTGTTTATGTGGTACTGAGGAATTGAACCTGGGACTCTATGCATGCTAGGCAAACACTACCACTGAACCACATTTCCAGCCCTCCCTTTTCTCTTTAAAACAGCAAGTCTCTAATTTACTTATATTTTAGGCTTATAACTAGTACTATTATTATGAAGAATAATTACATATTATTTTTTATTCAAAGGGATTTTCAAGGTTATTATTCTTAAATTCTATTAATATTTCTTGCCTATTCAACTTAGAACAAAAATAATCTCTGTCCTAGTAGAACTGACATTACTGTCAATTGTAATACAAGGGAAATAGAATATATTGCATAAAAGAAGTAGAAAGTGCTGGGAGATTAAACAGGTAGAGCTAGGCACAAGTGGCTCACGCCTGTAATCCTAACTACTCAGGAGGCTGAGATCTGAGGATCTCAATTCAAAGCCAGCTGGGGAAGGAAAGTCTGAGATTCATTTCCACTTAACCATCAGAAAACTGGAAGTAGTGCTCTGGCTTAAAGTGGTAGAATGCTAGCCTTGAGCAAAAGAGCTAAGGGACAGCACCCAGGCCCTGAATTCAAGCCCTACAACCAAAAGAAAACAACAACAACAACAAAAACAAAAACAGGGGTAGAAAACACAACTCCTTGTGGAGGACAAGTACTGGGAATCAGCATTAAGTTCCCTCGTTCTGAAAAGAGCTTTGAAGGATGGCTAAGGATTTTAACAAGAAATACAACAAACCAAACAACCAGAGGGCAGGAAAAAGAAAAGGCATACTGGGAAAAGAAACGAACTGGAGGGGCTGGGAAGTTGGCTCAGTGGTAGAGCGCTTGCCTTGCATGCATGAGGGCCTGGGTTCGATTCCTCAGCACCACATAAGTTAGAAAAAGAAAGCCGGAAGTGATGTTCAAGTGGTAGAGTGCTAGCCTTGAGCTGAAGAGCTGAGGGACAGCGCCCAGGCCCAGAGTTCAGGCCCCACGACCGGACCAAAAGAAACAAACTGGATAAGGCTTAACCACTGACTGTGCAGTAAGTAACTTTCAGCAGTCCAGATGGCTGGAATCTGGTATAAATATGCGAGTAGAGGGAAATAAGTTTGACAAGATAATTCAAGGCCATAGTTTTGGAAGGTGTGTGTGTGTGTACATTTTTTAAAATAAATATTATTTTATCTTATATTATTTAAAAAATATATGTGTGTATACATATACATATATGTAAATGTTTTTTTCTTCTTGGTGGGTCATGAGATTTGAACTCAGGGCCTGGGTGCTTTTGCTTAAGGCTAGTACTCTACCACTTTGAGCCACAGATCCACTTTTGGTTTTAGGAGGCTAATTAGAGATAGTCTTATGGACTTTCCTGCCCAGACTGGCTTCAAAAGGTGATCCTCAGATCTCAGCATCCTGAGAGGCATGAGCCACCAGAACCAGGCTCTTGGAAGGGACTTTAGCTATTGAAAATACCCTGCTACTTGGGCTGGGAATGTGGCTTAGTAGTAGAGTGCTTCTCTAGCATGCATGAAGCCCTGGGTTCAATTCCTCAGTACCACATAAACAGAAAAAGCCAGAAGTGGTGCTGTGGCTCAAGTGGTAGAGTGCTAGCCTTGAGCAAACGAAGCTCAAGGACAGTGCCCAGGCCCTGAGTTCAAGCCCCAGGACTGGCAAACAAAAATACCTTGCTACTGGATAGCAGTTCAGACATCTCACACGTGACCATTTCCTCCTCCTTCCTTCTCCAAGGAGCTGAGCCAGAGGAGAGACTAGATCACTGCTAGGTAGGGTCTATAGCTCCAAGTCTGCAATAAAACAGCTATAGAAAAAAAGAAACCCCACTCTTTCTTCTCCCCTAAAACACATTTTAATATCTTGGGGCCCTCAGGGGGAATTTGAGGCAGAATAGCTATAGGAAAAGAATGCTGAAATTAACCCCCTCTCATAGTCATACCTTAGGAGACAACCAGGATTTCTTTCTTTCTCCTTTCCTCTCCTCCTCCCTCTCTCAATCTAACTCTTCTCTCTCTCCCTTTTTATGATTAAAAAGGATCAAAGTTGTTTATGAAGGAAATGTAACAGGAGAGATAGGTGACAACGTGTAGGCAGTAAAACAGAAGCTAATCAAGAGAAATGCCTTAAACCTTAAATCTTAACCTGTAGCCAGCACTGGTAATGTAATTCTAGCTACTCAGGAGGCTGAGATCTGAGGATCATGGTTCAAAGCCAGCCATGAGACTCTCCATCTCTGATTAGCCTCCAGCACACACACACACAGACAGACACACACACACACAGACACTTTTTTGGACAGACCTAGGGCTTGAACTCAGGGTCTAACACTTTGGATACCCGGAAGTACTGTTTCAATGTTCAGAGTTGCTAAATAACCTGGTGTTTTCCCCCAGCTTCAAAAGAATGAAGGCAGCAGATTAACAGTTGCCATTTTAACTCCATCTCCTGCATGGGAAAGAAGTGCTTTTCTTTCTCTCCACTTTAACCTTGCTCTTGAGCCATCTACCTCAAGCCACTGTCTCCTTTAATGGCCACTCTCTCTATTACTCTCCTTGCCTACTTAGCCACTTATAAACACATGAATGAATGAATAAATAAAAAACACTGCTACTTACTTCAAAGGTTTATCATCTTGAGAAGCAAGTGTTTTTGGAGCCTCTGGGCCAATTAAATCCGATGGTTCTTCAGCCTCTGTAGTAAAGATATTTAGAAATATATTTGATTTTTTTTTTTTTTTTTTGGTCATGGGGCTTTGAACTCAGGGTCTGGGCTGTCCATGAGCTTTTCTGCTCAAGGCTAGGGTGCAAACACTTTGAGCCACAGCTCCATTTCTGGTTTTCTGGTGGTTAATTGGGGATCAGTCTCATGAACTTTCCTGCCTGGGCTGGCTTTGAACCTTGATCCTCAGATCTCTGCCTTCTGAGCAGCTAGGATTACAAGTATGAGCCACCGGTGCCCGGTTATCTATCTATCTATCTATCTATCTATCTATCTATCTACCTACCTACCTATATCTATCTGGAGAGGGAAGGAGAGAGAGAGGGGGGAGGGGGGGAGGGAAAAAGGGAGGGAGGGAAGGAGAGAGGGAGAGAAAGAGGTCATGGGTCTTAAACTCAGGGTCTGGGCACTATCCCTAGTTTTTCTGTTTAAGGACAGGGTGCTAGCACTTTGAGCCATGGCTCCACATCTGGTTTTCTGGCTATTAATTGGAGATGAGAGTCTCACAGAATTTCCTGCCTGGGCTAGCTTTGAACTATGTGATCCTCAGATCTCAGCCTGCTGAGTAGCTAGGATTACAGGCGTGAGCCACTGGGGTGCCAGGCTTACATTTGCATTCTGACTAACCAGTTATTTTATTATTTCATCTGTTTTGAATAAAAAGTCTATCAGAAGAACCTACTTGCTCGTTCCTTCCAGGGATTCTCCAGGAATTCTTCTTGAGAATCTTTTGAGCTTGAATCACTAGACTCTTTTCTGCTCTTCTTAGACTTCTTTTTCTTATATTTCTTCCTATAGAGATTATAATTTGATTAAAATCCACTAAACACTCCCATGTTTTAGGGCATCTTGTTTTTTTTAAATTGTCTGTCATGGGGCTTGAACTCAGGGCCTGGGCATTGTTCCTGAATTTTTCTGCTCAAGGCCAGCACTCTACCACTTGAGCCACAGCCCCAGTTTTGTTTTTTTGGTAGTTAAGTGGAGTTAAGAGTCTCACAGATTTTTCTTCCTGGGCTGGCTTTGAACCTGGATCCTCAGAACACAGCCTACTGAGTAGCTAGGACTACAGGCGTGAGCTACCAGTACCTGGCTAAACATATTGATTTTTTCAAGGCAATGAAAAAAACTGGTAAAATTATCTGAATTACCAGCTTGTTCAAAGTTGCTAAATCTTAAAAATCTAAGTAAATCATACTTTGCTAAGAAAACAATGAAATACAGTTCTGATGTAGAAAGACCATAGAAACAAAAATAGATTTTGCACTGGGCGCTAGTAGCTCATGCCTGTAATCCTAACTGCTTAGAAAGCTGAGATCTGAGAATCGTAGTTTGAAGCCAGCACAGGCAGAAGAGTCCCCATGAGATTCATCTCCAATTAACCACTCAAAACTGGAAGCTGCGCTGTGGTTCAAGTGGTAGAGTGCTAGCCTTGAACACAAAGAGATTCAGGGACACCAGGCCCTGAGTTCAAGCCCCATAACTGACAAAAAAGAAAAAAAAAAGATCTTGCTAGGCACAATGACTGATACCTTTAATACTAGCTACTTGGGAAGTGATGAGGAGGGCTGTGGTTTGAGGTCATCTTGGACAAAAAGTGGTGGCACATGCATATCATTCCAGTTATGACGGAGGCATAAATAGGAGGACTTTGATCCAGGTTAGCCTGGGCAAAACAAAAAAATCCTATCAAAAATTAAAGCAAAGCTGGGCAACAGTGGCTCATACCCATAATCCTAGCTACTCAGGAGGCTGAGATCTGAGGATGGCGGTTCAAAGCCAGCATGGGCAGGAATGTCCATGAGACAATTATCTCCAATTAACCACCAGAAAACCAGAAGTGGTGCTGTGGCTCAAGTGGTAGAGTGCTTGCCTTGAGCTGAAGAGCTCAGGGGCAGTACCCAGGCCAGAGTTCAAGTCCCATGACTGACAAAAAAAAAAAATTAAAGCAGTAAGTGCTGGGGCGTATGGCTCAAGTACACTAGCAAGTGCAAATGCCCTGATTTCAAACCCCAGTAACTTTCACCCAAAAGCCCAAACACCCTCTCTAGTTTTTTTTTTTTTTTTTGGTCCGGTTGTGGGGCCTGAACTCTGGGCCTGGGCGCTGTCCCTCAGCTCTTCAGCTCAAGGCGAGTGCTCTACCACTTGAGCCACAGCGCCACTTACCCTCTCTACTTTTAACCAATTTGAACATAATAATAAGTTTGAGTATAGTGGATTGAAATGTATCAACTATGTTTATCTACTTATTTATTTTTGCCTGTCCTGGGGTTTGAACTCAGGGCCTGGGCTCTATCCCTGAGCCTCTCTGTGCTTAGGGCTAGCACTCTACCACTTGAGCCACAGTACCACTTCCTGCTTTTTTGTTTATGTGATACTGAGGAATCAAACCCAGGACTTCATGCATGCTAGGCAGGCACTCTACCACTGAGCCACATTCCCAGCCCAAAATCATTGTAGTTTATAGACATTACTTGGATATTGATTTCAATTAACTACAGAAGAAAGCCTACTGAGAATTAAGGATTGATTGCTAAGTATTTTAGGCATAATATATATTTTTGTTTTTTGGTGCCAGTGCTCCTGAGGCTTGAACTCAGGGCCTGGGTACTGTCCCTGAACTTTTTTTTTTTTTTTGTCGGTCGTGGGGTTTGAACTCTGGGCCTGGGCGCTGTCCCTCAGCTCTCCAGCTCAAGGCGAGCGCTCTACCACTTGAGCTACAGCGCCACTTCTGGTTTTCTGGTGGTTTATTGGAGATAGGAGTCTCATGGACTTTCCTGACCAGGCTGGCTTTGAACCGTGATCCTCAGATCTCAGCCTCCTGAGTAGCTAGGATTACAGGTGTGAGCCACCAGCGCCCGGCTTGTCCCTGAACTTTTATTTTTGTTCAAGGCTAGCACTCTACCACTTGAACCACAGCTCCACTTTGGCTTTTTGGGTGGTTAACAGGAGATAAGAGTCTCACGGACTTTCCTGCCCAGGCTGGCTTTGAACCGTGATCCTCAGGTATCAACTTCTCAAGAAGGTTGGATTACAGTCATGAGTCACCCATGCCTAGCTTCTTGGACGAAATTTCCTGCTCAGATGTCAGCTTCCTGAGTAGCTAGGATTATATACTAAACCAGTACCTTGTTTAGTAGCATTGCTTTTGGTTTTTTTAAACAATGCCTATTCTTTAGAGAAAGATGTTAAATTGTTGATGGACAGAACAATATCTAGGATTAGTTCCAAAATAACTGGCGGAGTATGGAGACTGACCACGAGGCTAGAGTTGTTCACAATAAGATGGGCAAATGGGGGGATCATTATACTATTTTATCTAATTTCAGATATGCCTTAACTTTAAAAAATAAAGAAAAACTTACGCTCTGCGTTTCTTTTTCTTTTCCTTTTCCTTTTTCTTAGCCTTTTTTGCTCTCCTTTTTGTATCTTCATCTGCAAATTAAAACATACAATTGAAAAGTAGCTTTAAATTCTAAATCTCCAGCCAATGAGTCAATGGCTCATATCTTTAATCCTAGCTATTCAGGAGACTGAAACATGAGGATCGAAGCCAGCCTGGGCAAGAAAGAATGAGAGTTTTTTTTTTTTTTTTTTTTGGGTCTGGTCGTGGGGCTTGAACTCTGAGCCTGGGCGCTGTCCTTCAGCTCTTCAGCAGCACGCTACCACTCTACCGCTGTGAGTGCCACTTCCAGCTTTTTTCTTTTTGCTTATGTGGTGCTGAGGAATCAAACCCAGGGCCTCAGGCATGCAAGGCAAGCGCTCTACTACTGAGCCACCTTCCCAGCC